GGTCTGTCAATGATCCCGGTTTACTCTGACAGCTCCCAGTTTCTGTGCTCCTCTGGGCACCCAAAGTCATGGCTTTCTTGGCCTAGTTTTACAGCTTATGGGGTTGTAAGGTGTCCCCTGCCCCTGCTCCAGAGGCCCCTCTGTCTGTCAGAGGTCATCATCCAGTCCTGACTGCCTAGAAAGGGGGACGGCGAGGGCTGAAGAAAAAAGACAATAAAGACCTGTGTAATTTCAAGTATGGGGGACTGGGAAGTCAGTGCCTCCAAGCAGGCAAAGACAAAGACACTCTGAGCTTGCCACTATTTATTGAGTTCATAGGGAGTATCAGATGACTCAGAGGGCAGCAATAATCATAAATTGACAAGGATCTTATAATTGGAGGAAGTATCAGATGACTGGGAAGGTGACAGTAATCCTGTGACGATGAAGACTTAGGTAGATGAGGAGCTTATGTTGATTAGGATGGTGAGATGAGCAAAATGTTCCCACAACAGTAGGTGGGATGAGCTAAACCGATAAGAAATGTGTCACTCCCCAGGTGAAAACCATTCTCTTTTTGTATTACTACTCTGTTCTCAAAGAACCAGGATGTCTTCAGCTGATGTAATCTCGCCCTTGAGTGTCACAGCATCATAGGACTATTGAGGCCTTAAATAGCCCTAATTATAATTTAATTGTGAAATGATTCCCCCCCCCCAAATTATGTAGAATGGCCCCTGACATCTGTCCGTACACCCCAGGCTGTGGGAACTGTCCAAGCCAAGGTGTACCTCTGCCTACTTGGATATATGAGGAAAGCCGTTGAACTGTGATCTCTGTGCTGAATGGAGGTATGTAGGCTAGGGGCAGAGGGGTTAAAGCAGGCCATTGGACTTCATGCCAGCACTTTCAGACCCAGCTCCCTCCAAAAGCCACATACAACCAGCCTGGCTCCTTATCTTGGAGGGTGGGGCTCCTGTGTCCTTTCTGGCCCGATTTTAAACATCTCTGGGGGTCTATGTCTAGACCATGCCCACTCTGTGACTATCTCTTGTGGCCATCTCCCACCTAGTCACAGTGGTAGGGTGACATTAGAAACCCTAAAGTATAGTTGTTATGTAGTTGTTTTGCGCCTCAGTCTTAAACTATTCACCCCTTCCCCAAATGGCTCCCAATTAAACCCTCTCAAATATAGCAGGTGCTGCACTGGATTTCTTCTCCACTAGCCTGGCATGTAGAGACACTTTTAGAGTAAAACTGTTCTATTTTTGCAGTTTATAATAAGCCCTAGGCTTTTCTTGGGCTACTGCTGCTGACCCACTCTGGGCTTAACCTTGTATTAGCAGAGACAAGGCCTCAGGAGCTAGGGTCAGCTTTCCAGACTGCTTCATTCTTTTCTCTGTGTTGTGCTCCATTTTTCCAGCTTCTCTGTAGCTTTTGGTTTTCCTGTCACCCTCCTGATTTCTAGAGATTTCGTCTTTCTCTTCACCAAGTTGTTTTCCAGGTGTTCAGTTCCAGGTCCCGGGGAGCCTGTATTTTGCTGCTGGTCTCCATGCTGCCATTTAAAAAAAACCCCACATTTTATTTTATCCCCCCTTACGCCGCCTCCCCTCCCTATGTACAAAAGCTTTGTTTCCATTTTTTTCCTTCTATTTTCACATCCCTTCCTTCCTTTCTCCCTCCCTCCTCCCTTGTTCCCCTTCCCATTGAACATTTTCTTTCCATTTCCCAATATCTATTATACATTTTGGTTCTTTCTGTGAGGTAGGTGGCGGAACCACTGAGCTAAATCCCCGGCCCTTACATTTTAGTTCTTATTTCCCATGCTGCCATTTTAAAATTTCATGTCTATCTCTATTTGATTCTCCAGCTATCTCTCCATCCCTTGTCTCAAAGGGTGTCCAGGAGGATTTCTGGTAAGAGCCTTGCTCATCTCAAGTTCCACAACCCTTTTTTATTCAGGAAGCAATTTTATCTTTCTGAAATTTTCTGATCCCTTATATCAGAAGGTGTCTTAGTTCCCCTCAGATGTCTTCTCCTCATTTCCTTCCATATTGCTTTTTCCTATTCCCAGCCATTTTTAGTTTTTCTGATACATGTTTTGGAGTCTTCAGATTACTTAGTTTCACTGAAAATGGAGTATGTTATTGTATTTGTTTACTATTATATAATATTCATAACATAAAAGATACCATTTTTAATGACGTATTAGTGTACAGTTCAATGGTATGAGTTACGTTCACACTTTTGTTTAACCATTACCACTCTTTATCTCCAGAACTTTTCCATACTAAAACTGTACCCATTGTGAGTTGCTTTTTTTTTTTTTCAGTGCTGGGAATCAAACTCAGAGCCTTGTGCTTGCCAGGCAGGTGCTGCATGCTGAGCTACATCCTTAGCCCTAAACTCTGTACCTATTAAATGGTAATTGCTCATGTCCTCTTCTCTCAAATTCTGGTAGTTACCATTCTATTTCTACGAATTTGACTACTCTAGGTACCACATATGTTTGGAATTATATAATATTTGTCATTTTTTTGTGTGGCTTATTTATTTAGCATAATACAGTATCTTCAGAGCTTATCCATGTTATGGCATATATCAAGATTTCATTTCTTTTTAAGATGCAGTAATATTTTATTGCATGTATATACCATATTTTGTTTATCCATTCATCCTTTACTGGATTCTTGGGTTTTATCTCTATCTTTTGGCTACTGTGGATAATACTGCTATGTGCATTAGTATACTGGGGCTGAGGATATAGCTCAGTTGTAGAGCATTTGCCTAACATGGGTGTACAAATTTTGTATTTGTTTATTGTTATTTTCCTTGTTCCTTTGTGTGCTTTTCCTGCTGATTTTCACAGGTATGATTATTTTGGTAGTTATTTGGAAACTGAATATTAAAATAAATATTCAAATGATTCTCATGATCAGACAGGTTGGGAAGTACTTTCTACCATTTCCACCTGAGTGTAGTTGGGTCGAAATAATAAGAGAAATCACCTTTGAGAACAGAAAGCCCCAGAACTCTGGCTAAGGTTGGGGGTAGGAGAAGCATTGATGGGAGGAGGAAGTTTGGTGCTCATGAGTAGATTAGATGATAGGAAACAATTGTTCTATTAACTACCATCTGTCAGAGCTCCTCCTGCTGCTGTGAATCACTAAGCAGGCAGAGAGGATAAAATAAAGGCATTAAAATTGTCCAATTCCCTTTCCGGGATAAATGTATCTTAGGAAAATCCCTGTTTGGCTGTGCTTTCAAGAGTGACAAGCTTGGCTCAGCACTTCTGTGCATCTGCTGATGTTTGTAGTTTAAACTGAGGGTAACTGTCTGAGGGTGTCAGAGCAACTGTTGGTTCTTGGTTTAAAACAATAATTTAACATTGTAACATTTTCCAGAAGTCACCAACTAGTCTGAACACACCTCTTATGAATGTCTTAGATTTGTATCAAGGGAATCCTGTGAAAACTCAGCAGAGTAACCTTGATGACATAAGCAAACTGGAGCCATGGGAATATCTTTGAGGCAGCTTGTTAATGAGCTGCTGCCTAATCTCCATGAAGCAATGCTATAGTGAATCAGTGAAAGGCAGTATGAGATTTTATGACAGGCAGAGATACATTCAAGTGGCTTTCTAGAGGGAGAGAAAATATGTGTCTAGTTGGTGGCACATTTTTATTTATTCAGCAGATACTTATTGAGCTCCTATTATGTTGTAGAACAGTGGATAAAGCAGAGGAAAAGACAAAAATATTTCTGAGGTTGTTAAATTGTCATTCTGGTGTGCGGAAACAGATAATAAACAAGGGAACAAATATAAATATATTTGGATAATAGACTACTGAGCACCAAGGAGACCTAATTAAGTAGTATTATTTCTGTGTCTGCAGTTTCAGTATCTGGAGTTCAACCTACTTGGGATTGAAAATTTTGGGAGAAAAATGCATATGTACTAAACACATACAGAGTGTTTTCTTTTTGTTGATCCCAACAATTTACGTAGCATTTAGATTGTATTGAATATTGTAAGTCACCTAAGGTTGATTTAAAGTATATAGAAGGATGTAATAGGTTAAAAGCAAACACTGCACCATTTTATATAAGAGACTTCTGCCTTGTCTATAGATTCCTCAAACCAATTCCCCATGGATACTGGGAGATGATTGTAATTACTAGTGATTGTTTACATTCTTTGCAAGGTTTCTTTAGATTTTTCGAGCCAATGGTTTATTTCAATTATGTTCTTATCTCTCAACATATAATTTACAAACAAATTTTCCTAAAATTCAATTGTTTTGCAAAGTAAGTCTCTCTCTCTCCCTCTCCCTCTCCCTCTCCCTCTCCCTCTCCCTCTCCCCCCCCCTCCCCCTCCCCTCCTCCCTCCCTCCCTCCCTCCCTTCTCCAGTACCCATCTCTCTCCTTCCTTTTCTCTCCAGTACTTGGCATTGTGCTTGGGGCCTCAGCACTGAGCAACATCCCCCGCTCTTTTTTATTTTTTTATTTTGAGAAGTTATTAAGTTGCCCAGTCTGGACTTGAACTTGGAATCCTCCTCCCTCACCTTCCAGAGCACTAGCATGTGTCACCACGCCTGGCTCCACTTCTTTCTTAAAGCCTGAGAAAATTTCAATGTTTATGTGGAAAGAGAACAGCATCAGTGAACAATATGATTAAGTGTAAACTTCGTCCTGTAAATTCTAAGAGCCATGATTTTTCACAGTGAGAACCACGATTTTCCATGGTTTGGGGGGTCTGACAGTTTGGAAGCTTTTACATCCTCAAACAGATTTGAAACTTCACCCACAGTTTCATAAGTTGGCTTATCTACTTGTTCACTTTTTTAAGTTTTTCATCCCTTAGAAGGGAGTAGGAGGTGAGAGGAGGGGAAGGATGTTATTGCATGCTCCCTGTGGGCTGTTTGTACATAAAAAAAGGGATTAAAATAGTGTATAAAAGTGGTAGGGTGGTGCTTGCATCTAACTGGGAAGGCAAAGCTTTAATTCTTTTTTTCTTCCAGAAAATGTAGAAAGAAAGATTCTCGAATGTTCGAGGTTCTTCGTGATCCTTACTGCTTGATGGGATCCTTGCTGCTCTTGGATGTGACAAACCCCTTCAGGAGTGAAATGCGGGCCACTCTGGCCCTCTTTGAGCAGAATAGGAGCTAGCATGTGTTTCACTCTCATTGCATGGTTCTGCACAAATAAGTGTTACCGCTTTCCCAAAATACTTGTTGAAAGGATGACCAATTTCAGAAAAAGAAAAATACTGCCTAAAATTTTAGAAAGGTACTCAAACCTACAAAAAAGAAATAGGAAATTAAATTTGTATAAATCAAAGATTGTTTGGTGAAGTAAAATCATTCATTTAGGTGAGATATCATTGAGTGTAAACTACACATCCACAGATGACCTTCTCCCTAAATGATGTGTAAAAATGAATGAAATTCTTCTTTTGACCATGTCAACATGGTAAAGTTTTGGAATTTTATGGGTGTGTGACTTGCAAGCTTACCCCATTTCTAATCATAATATTGGCAAATTTTTGTCTTTTAAATATGAATTTATTTGAAGGTGCATGAGGAAACATGTATAAAATAGGAACCTATATCCAAATTTTACACAATTATGAAAACTGACTATTTTTACAGCTTTCACATTTATGTCAGACAAAGAGAATTGCATTTTCCCTATAAAAGAATTTATAAATAAGAGAACAACATGTGGAACAGTCAGTTAACTATTGTCAAGTGAGCGTGGCATTATCTGTTTTTGTAATAAAACCCCAAGGCAATGTGGGGAACAATTGTATACAGATTCTTTATCCCCACTGGGCGGAAACAAATAGCCTGGAAATTAATTTATTTTTTTAAAGAAGGACTGGTTCTCAAATATTTGCCTCTTCACAGACTGATTTATAAAGGCTCCTCTCTTTTTTCATTCTATCTTTCTTTCTTTGCTAGGAACAAAGCTGTTAACAACTGAGACTATTTAAATATCTCAGTAAAATTTCAAAGAATTGATAGAGGGGAATCCTTTCCTTATAAAGGTTAAAACCTAACTATTAATTACACAGATAATTGAAAATCAAGCTTAAAATTTTCACTTCCAAGAATGCTTTTTAAAATATGATTTAAAACCAAATGATTTATAAGGTTTTCCTTTTTATTTGATGTAAGTATTGATAGTCATTGAACCAATCAAAATTGACTTCCTTGTTTAGTTGATAACATTAAATGTTTTTAAGGTAGTATTTTTGTGTTTTTCTGTTGTTCTCTTAGCACATTGCTTGTACACATGGTCATTTAAAAATTTATATAGTTTTATAATTACATGAGATTATTAATCAAATAAGTTTCTTGAGGTAGGTTGTAAATTATATGTACATAAAAGATAGTTTGCCACTGAGGTTTACTATAGTGAGAGTTGGTAATCTATGAAACAGACTTCTGAAGCTTCTCTAATATATCATTTAAGACATTTTCTCCTGAAATAGTTGAAAGGAACTTTTAACAACTCATTTTAAAATGAGTTATTATTGGGAGGCAGAGTTTATTTCATTCAGAGAAACACTAGAAGATATATTTGGTATGCTGGCAAGAGGGTAATGGGCCTGAAAATCTCACAATACTGATGAGATTATCAAGCAATACAAATGACCTGGATAATATTTAAGATCCTAAAATGTGCATATCCTTATATTTTTCTCCACAGTCTTACCCCTTTCCTCTGCTCCTTTTTTTCCTACCTCCTCCTTGTCTCCATCTTCTCAATTCTCTAAGTTGAAGTCACTTATTCATTCAACAAATTCTTTTTGAGTGGCTGTGTGCCAGGTACTCTTCTAGACTTTGGAAACACAAGAGTGAACACAATATATGCGATTCTCTATTTGGAGGAATCTGGTACATGCTGTCTTACTCAAAAAAATCCAAGGTAACATCACTGACACAGTGGTAAAACAGTCATTTGCCTCTTGAGTGATACATTGAAAAAGACATACCACATCAACAGTATTCCTGCCAAAAATGTATAATCTGAGTCTGATCATAAGGAAATATCAGACAAACATGGGCATTTACAAAATAACTGACCAGAGCCCTTAAAAAATGTCAAGGTGTAGGAAACAAAGAAGGCCGGGAGCTATTTCACATTAAAGGAGATTGATGAAACATGAAAAGAACTCTGGCTGTGTAGCTCAAAGGTGGAGCACTTGCCCAGTGTACAGAAGGCCCTGCACTTAATCCTTAGCCCCAGAAAAACAAAAACCCCACGACTACTAAAGCACGGTGAGCAACCTTGGATTGGGTCTCATTAGGAAAAAAAGGTGTGTGGGGCATAAAAGCTGTAAAATACATTGGGGCAGGCACTGTTCTCTGCCCAGAGGAAGGGGCTTCTGGGCCACCATTCCACTGCTCCCAGCCCAGGGGTCAGGGCTTCCAGGCCCCCATTCCATTGCTCCCAGCCCAGAGGAAGGGGCTTCCAGGCCACTGTTCCATCACTCCCAGCCCAGAGGTAGGGGCTTCCAAGCTGCTGTTCCACCATTCCCAGCCCAGAGGTAGGGGCTTCCAGGCCACCATTCCATTGCTCCCAGTGCAGAGGAGGTGAGCCATGTGAGTGTCAACAGCAACCCCCCATCGAAATGAGAAGACACATAAACAAGGCTCAAAACCAGACTTCCAGATCACCTAAAGCAACCCCAAAGGGAAAGGAGATGGAACACTCTGATACTCAACCACCTGGACTCCCTGAACTGGCAACCAAAGAGGATCTGGAAAAAATGAAATCAGAAATAACTTCTCAGATAACAGCAGAAATTGTGCCCATAGTGCAAGACATGATTAATAAATCTAGAGAGGACACAGATAAAAAATTAGAGGAGCTGAGGAATATGATGGAATCCCAACATAGGAAACAAATGAAATCCATAAAACAGATACAAACAGATTGCCAGGAGATTAAAAACTGCATTGAAAGTCTTCACAGAAGAATGAGCCAATGTGAGGACAGAATTTCAGATATAGAAGATAAGATTGCAAATAGTGATCAGGAAAAGAAAAATTGCTTCGAAATTGTAAGGGACCATGAAAAATCAATCCAGCAACTGCTAGATGATGTAAAGAAGAATAACATAAGACTGATTGGAGTCAACAGAGAAACAAGAGAAAGTGCAGATGACATAAAAAAACCATTCACAGGGCTGGGGATATAGCTCAGTGGTTTTGGTCGGCTGCGCAAGCACAAGGACCCAAGTTCAATGCCCGGTACCATAAATAAATAAATAAATAAATTAATTAATTAAGGTGCTATGAGCATTTAAAAAAAACTGTTCACAGAAGTAATGGCAGAAAACTTCCCAAGCAGGGGAAAAGAATTTGACATATAGATAAGTGAGGCATATAGGACTCCAACTAGCCTTGATGAAAAAAAATCTACACATAGGCATATAATTGTTAACATTCCAGAAATCCAACAGAACAAAGTTCTACAAGCAATTAGAGAAAAGAAACAAATCACATACAAAGGAAAGCCCATCAGAATCACAGAAGTCTTCTCAACGCAAACCTTCAAGGCAAGAAGAGCTTGGAGTGACGTATTCCAAGCCCTAAAAGAAAACAGCCTCCAACCCAGATTGATGTACCCTGCAAAACTATCTTT